AATTAGGAATAGGCCCATTAGTTGTGTATCACATAAAAGCAAGGTAAAAATTATTTTTAGATTTTCATTTTTTAAGAATTTTATTACGTAAATTTTGAGTGTTTTTTTGGGAAGTTTTTTTTGAAAGTTGATACGTGTATCCGTCGGGATACGAGTATCCAAAATTTTAAAATAATTACCGAAAAAGTGGAAACTTTTAAAAATTGCAGATACGGCCCGGGAACGTACGGTACAAGTATCCTAGAGTATCGGATACGGGAACGTTTCCGATACGCTGATACGGCACCCTAATGAAGTATCCGTGCTTCATAGGCGAGTAGTATAAATACTGACATCCATTTCAATATAAGGGGTTGACAAACTTGTATTTAATAGTTGGGAAAACTGTCAAATAGGTTCTCGAACTTTCATAAAAAGGTCAAATAAGTCCTTATATAGGAGGCTCTGTCCGGCCGTCGCGATTTGGGGCGGTTCCCGGTGAAATTTTTTGAGCTTCTTATTCATCAAGTCTAGTTTACTCATACCAAATTTCAGCTAAAACTTCGATCGGGAACGCATTCAAATTAATTCTTGAAGATAACTGCGCATTTAATTAATTGCACAGTTATGCGGAAGATACGGTGATGGGGAAGGGAAGAAATGAGAAAGTGAAAAAAAAAGACATGGGTGTTGACTGTTGAGCAGGGCATATAGCGTGTGGTGATGCGTGAAATGCTAATATTTGGTGAGAGAGTGAGGATATTGATTTGGGGGGAAGGGTATTATAGTCATTGTATAGTTATTTAATATTACCATAAATGCAGTGTTGCAATTATTTTGATACCGCCAAAAGATGAAAGTATTGGATTTAATTAAGAACGAAGTAGTATTTTTCCCAAAGTATGATCATATGTTTGATTTTTCTTAAATATGACTACATATTACATTTCTACTCCTAATTTAATTAATTACTAAAAGGAAAAATTGAAAATAATAATCCCAACTATTACTGGTCCGCCCATAATAATTCCAACTATTGATTATTTTTGTATAATCCCAACTATATGGACCATCCGCCAATAAAGGTCCATGACCAGATATTACCTCCTATAAAAAGTAAATTTTAAATAGAAATTAAGCGTAAAATTAAAAGTTGGGATTATTTATAGGGATTACTTGTTATATCTCTTCTCATCCACTGTAGAAACTACGAGAATTATAGGGACCATTATTGGCGGAAGGTCCCTAAAGTTGGGATTATTCTGAAATAATCGATAGTTGGGATTATTATAAGCGGACCATCAATAGTTGGGATTATTACTATCAATTTGTCCCTAGTTGCATTGCATAACCAAAGTCATTTTGTTGGTGACAGATCAGCCCGATGACGACAGCAACGAACTTCGGTGACAAAGGCGACAAGCAGATCAGTAGCGGTGGTCTAGGTGAAATTCTGACGATCGACAGTGGCAGTTGGGATTTCGATCGGGCTTTAAAAGTCAATGGACTTTTTGAAAGTCTATAAACTTATGTATGAATTTAAAATTCAATAGAATTTATTCATAAAAAAGTCAATGAATGTAAAAGTTCATTGACTTTTTTAAAGGTAGATGGATTAAAAAAAGTCCATTACAATCGATATTCAATACACACCTCTTAAAATGTTTTTACTTGGACTTATTTAAGTCTCAAACCAGACTAAACTCAGACCATTATCAAATACTTCCTCCGTTTTTAAATAAGTACAACAGTCAACATTTCACATTTGCCGAGGCACAACTTTGACCATTAATATATATAAATCTCTATTAGTAAAAAAATTAAAAAAATCAAATTTTGAAAATTTACAATGAGACAAATTTAGTAATATTTTTTTCAAAAAAATATATTAATACATTAATAAATAAAATGTAGTCAAAGTAAAACATGTGAATAGTGTAAAATTTGGTATGTTGCACTTGTTTAAGAAGTGATGTAGTATGATATGTTACAAGTAATAGTTATGTAGTTATCGTTTCTCCAGATTTAAGTTTTCTGTAAAAACAAAATATATTCATGTTAGTAAACAGGCCCATGTTATCTAATTTCCATGTATGAATTTAACACATTTTATGTCAAAAAAATGCAATTTATATGTCACGAGTAATATTTACAAATTATAGCTTCCCCTAACTACGTTATAGCTTCCCCTAAGCAAGTTTTTTGCAAAAAAAAAATAATCAAAGGATAATTTGAGTTTGCACCGCATTTTAATGTCTAAATTGGACTTTCCACCCATTCAAGAATATGTTCAAGGCCAACAAAATTGTTATTGGAGGGACATTTTTGTCTTTTAATATGGGGTTGGGGTGTAAAAACAAAGCTACTTAGCCAAATTCAAAACTTTGACAAAAAATGTGTATAGTTCTAGTTAATTCTGAATGAAATTATGATTAGTTAATTCAAACCTTATTCAGATGCCTCTTACAGTTTTGATTATTCTGATGACTCTTTCTTCGCAGACACTTTCTTGGACATGCAAATGAAAGCGATCGTCGTCCGCCTATTTCATACCCCGAAGAGATTAGGAAATCCAAATTCAACAAGGAAATTTGCTCCAAAGCAAAATTTGTAACTTCTGAGAATTGTCTGCCAACAGACAACCTTAACACGCAACTCAAGATCTACAGGAAATCTCAAAAAAATAAAAGGCACCACAGCATGAGGACTAGGTCACAGTCCAGAGATTTCCCTTGAGAATAACTCTTTTTTTTCTTCTCTTTTCATGTATTTTTTCTGAAATTTCCTTTTTCGCACTGTAGTATCTCCTTTTATCAATAAAATCTTCTTTTCTTAAAAAAAAAAGACCGTGAAGAATGGGCCGATCATTTTGGTCCTAATTTGGGGAGACCAGATTGCACAACGTGGAGCGTATTCCATTTCCTATTCTAGAAACAATCCTTTCTTTAGGCAGGAATAACCACACATTCTTGATATGTGACTAAATTTAGGTCTAATATTATTGAGTTTAAGATGATGCATATACTGGGATTGAGATTCTTTGCCGTGGGCAGATTTGCCTTGCGGCAACAGACAGACGGATGAGAAAGCTAGAAAGCGCCTCCGAGATGCGGTCCTCCAAAATCTACCACCATTGGTTTTTTGATTGGACGTCCCTCCAAAGTCGGACACCCTACCTTTGCAAAGCAAGGCAAAGGTTCCGGATCCCATATAGTGAATGTAGTGAAGATTTTCAATACCTAAACTTACGTTTCGACGTCATGTTCTCATTCACTTTATGACGTGTACCACTAATACTATTTGTACGCAGCATTTGTGCACGACATTTTACACGCCGGCTAGAATATCTGCACACAGGTAATTTGATCTGCGTTTTGCGAAGAAAATCGTTTTTCACACATACAAAAAAGTTGTCTGTGCCATAAACAATTTTCAGACATTCCAAGCGGCGTGTAAAATGTTGTGTACAAATGCCGTGTATACGAAGCATTGCTGTTGAACACTTGAGCATGTTTTATTTTCTCCAACCATCTTTTCTGCAGATATTAATTTTCTGGAAAAACAAAAAATATTCATGTTAGTAAACGGGCCCATATTATCTAATTTCCATGTATTAATTTAACACATTTTATTTTAAAAAAATGCAATTTATATGTCACAAGTAATATTTACAAATTATAGCTTCCCCTAACTGCGTTATAGCTTCTCGTAAACAAGTTTTTTTGCAAAAACATGAAGGGGTAATTTGAGTTTGCCCCGCATTTTAATGTCTAAATTGGACTATGCACTCTGTTCAAGAATATGTTTAAGGTCAACAATATTGTTAGTAGATAGATATTTTTGTCTTTTCATATGAGGTTGAGGTGTAAAAACAAAGCTACTTAGCCAAATTCAAAACTTTGACAAAAAATAAATGTGTATAGTTTTAGTTAATTATAAATGAAATTATGATGTAAGACCGTGGAGAATGGGCTGATCATTTTGGTCCTAATTTCGGGATACCAGATTGCACAACGCTATTCCATTTCATACTATAGAAGCAATCCTTTATGGAAAAAACTATTGTTACACATTTATTGTACACACACTTACACACGCGTGTCTGTGAAGTGTTTTTTTTGTCTGTATACAGACACAGCGCATTTGATTTGAAGTGTCTGTGAAATAAGTTGTATCTGTATACAGACAAAACAAAACACTTCACAGACACGAGTGTGTAAGTGTGTGTACAAAAATGTGTACCTCAAGCCTGATTGATCCTTTATTTGGGCAGGAATAACCACACATTCTTGAGATGTGACTAAATTTAGGTCTTATATTATTGAGTTTAAGATGATGCATATAATGGGATTGAGATTCTTTGTCGTGGACAGATTTGCCTTGCGGCAACAGACAGACGGATGAGAAAGCTAGAAAGCGCCTCGAGATGCGGTCCTCCAAGGTAAAAACAGACGCATGGACAGACAGACGCATTTGTGTAAAAACACGTTAATGGAGGGGCATTTCTGTCTTTTTATATGGGGTTGAGGTGTAAAAACAAAGCTTTTTAAAAACGGGGTGTAAAGTCTAATTTGCACAATAAAATGGAGTGCAAACTCAAATTACCACGTTAATGGAGGGGCATTTCTGTCTTTTTATATGTGGTTGAGGTGTAAAAACAAAGCTTTTTAGAAACGGGGTATAAAGTCTAATTTGCACAATAAAATGGAGTGCAAACTCAAATTAATGAATATGATTGATATGTTACAAGTAATAGTTGTGCACCTTCATTATCATACTTAGAAATAGTGTATTCTAAATTAAATGTTGAAGCTCCAATTGCACTACACAATTATTATTATATATAGCAATCTCCAATTTTATCCCAAATTAAATGGATGTTGAAACTAACATTTGGAGTGTGACATTAAAAACCCTTTGACACCTTAAAAGCCGACGGTGTGGGTAATGTAATACACATTTACAAGCAGTTTCATATCTTCCATCCCTCTGGCTTCTCTTTCGTCTTCAATGGATTATGGGTGGATTTGGACGAATGCCTGGCCTGGACAGTAGTATTAGGAAAATTAAGAGGAAAATTAACAAAAACTTTGGTATCATGTCAATTAAAATTTGAAAAAGTAGATGAATATAAAAGATTAGAAAATGAAATAACAAATTTGAAGACTTTAGTAAATGAACCTAAAAAGGAATGGATAACTCTTGAAGGAGGATGAAGAAAAAGAATAATTAAAACTGAGTAATTTTAACGAAAAAGTAGATGATATTTGGAACGAACTAATAGTAAAAGAACAAATTAGAAATATAATTACAACAATGAATGAAATAAAAGAAGATCAATCTAACATAAGAAATATGATAAAAGAAGAATTAACAAATTTATGGAATGTATCGGAAATACCAACATTCAAACAAATATTAGAAAAATTGAATTTATTAATTACTAGTAACGAAAAAGGAAAACAGAATATAGATGAAAATGCAAATAAAATACTAGAGAAAGTTAATACTAAAGACCCAGAATTAGTAACTATAAATGTATGGAAAAGGAGTAAAGAACCTATAGTAGTGGATATTAGAGATACAAAACCTAAATTATCAGAAGATGTAGGAAAAACAATAGACAATTTAGCAAACTTACAGAAAAAGGACAATTTCAAATGACGCATAACTAACATAGTGTAATATGCTCGATATGCTTGTTAGAGATCTAACAGAAAAAGGACAATTTCAATACTTGGCTTCTCTTTCGTCTTCAACTAGTGTAAAGCCCGGGGAAATGCCCCGGTAGCGGTGCGTCAATTTGATATGAGTTAAAATGAAAAATAGTATTACGTAATAGATATTGTGAATCATTCATAGGATACAAAATTTAATACCCCGTAAATGCATATTTACTATGATCTAACCACAAACAATAATAAATTATTTTTATTTATTCAATGACTATATATTAAATTATCCATCATCATATATTATATATTTACTCTTTAGTCTATATCAAAGTTTTTCATTGCGGTAGCATTGCGATTGCGGCTATTGCGGCCGTTTTAATGTGTATTGCGGCCGAAGGTCTAATTTAATATTATAGTTGAACGAAATAAGAAAATAATTAGTGTTGATGTCTTGATACAACCCGATCGATATAGCCCTGTTACGACCATATTACAGTTTCGTTGGGTTACATAGTAGATTTTACTCGTGAATTGAAACCTCACCTCCATTGCGGTCCGATGCGACGATTGCGCCACAGAAGGAAACCACAATATTGCAGCCGCAACATGTGTTGTGATCCCGACCTAGCTATTCCCATTGCGACCACGTTTCGTTGGGTTTTGTTGGGACGATGAGAGTACATTATTGATATTCTTGTAGTTGTGCATAACTGAAGAACAATAAAAGTGTTATTTATGAAATTTTTACTATGAAGATTTCGACTGTGTTCATATTATATGCATATTGTTATCATGTTCTCATATCATAATGTTTTACTCCTGGTTTAAGGGAGTGTTTGCAACAACTTCTACTTAAAAATGCACTTTTGGGGTGATTTGGAAAAAGTGATTAGTTGTAAAAGTTGATAGTGTTTGAGAAAAAAGTGATTTTGAAAAGTAAAAGTTGGTATTGTTTTGTAAAATAAGTGCTTTTGGTGTATAAAAAGGGTAAAAGCACTTTTGACACGAAAGTTGAGAAAAGTAAAAAATTGGTAGTGATTGGTAAATAAGTGCTTTTTGAAACCAAAAGCTGAGAAGTTTTTTTAAAGTTGTCGCAAACCAGCCCTAAACTAAATGTTATTATGCATATAATAATTAAAGTATTGTATGAAATATAATTTACAATATGAATTATTTTTTTATATTATATGAGCATTTGGATCGTGTAATGAGTTAAACAATGCTTGTTAAATTAAAGCAATGTCAACATTTAGGCAAATTACTCTCTAAATAGGACTAAAAACGCTTAATTCCAAAATAGAACTATCATTTTATATGTTCAAAATAGGGCTAATTACTGACATATTTTGATAGTACCGAACTTTAAACATGACGATATTTTTCAATCCTGACAGTTATTACTCTTATTTTGGCAAAAAAAAAACACGACGGTCCTATTTTAGAATTTTCAAACTTTTTACTCCTATTATTGGATTTTCCCTAACACCGGTGTTTTAGATTTTATTTTTTTATTTTTTTTAAAAAAAGTATCTCAAAAATGTAAAAATTATTTATGAAATAATTATGTTAAGATTTGAATCTACTTATATAAAGTTTTGGGCTTTATTGACAAAAAAGTTTTAGTCTTTAAATTTTTCATCAATTGGATCTTAAGATTTCTTTTACATATGTAATATAAGTGTCAAATGAAAGATCATAAGAAGTTACAAATTTTGATATACTTTTTGTAAAAATTGGAGTACAAATAAAAAAATTATAACACTTTAAAAATTAGAGACCTTTCTCCTCCCTAATCTGCAAATGAGTTGGCATTAAGGTGAATAGCTAGTCATGGTCTCATCATCTCATGGACCATGTGAACTTGCATTTGGAGAATTAATTAAATATTTTAATAAGTGTGATATTCGAATTTTTAGTAACCAATAAATGATTGACACATCATTGATTTATAACCCACTTTACGATATAAAACAATACAGAGTATATTTAATTTTTTATTATTCATTATTGACAAAAACGCGCGTATAATAATAATGAAATTTTCATCATCATCACCATTATTATTATTATTATTAGGTGAAATTAAGAAATACGTACAACTAATATGTATTTTAGGTGCAATTAAGAAATACGTACACCTAATACTCCCCCCGTCCCATTTTAGTTAGTCAAACTTGACTTTTCAAGTCAAGCGCCATAATGCAATTTTCATTATCATCACCATCATCATCATCATCATCTGTCAAAGATGACTAAGTAAATTGGGACGAAGGTAGTATATATGTATTTTAGGTGAATGTTTAAAAATCAGAAATTACCCTAAATAGGAGTAAAAACGTTTTGAAATTCCAAAATAGGAGTATCATGTTTTTTATTCCCTAAATAGGAGTAATCTGCCAAGTTTGGAAAAAAAATGCCATGTTTAAAGCCTTGTAATTTCCAAACTTGGCAGAAATTTACTCCTATTTAGGGAATAAAAACATGATACTCCTATTTTGGAATTTCAAAACTTTTTTACTCCTATTTAGGGAATTCTCTCTTTAAAAATATGTATTTAAAGAATTGAATAAGAATTTAAAGAATACGATGAAGTGATAAACTTTAGAGTCCTATATGATTCATATACCTATTTTTCTCCAATTTTTTCTCCAACGTTTTCTCCAACTTTTTCTCCACTTATTAATATGCATTTCGCCCTATTTTTTCTCTGGTTGCACACTTGCACGTTAGTTTTAATTGGAGTTCTACTACAATTCTATCTTTGTTATTCGTTTTTTATAATTAAAATTTTTAATACATGAGTTTTAATATAATTTCTCTTAACGAATGAGGTTGTGACACATCAGCTTTTCAAAACTCAGCTTTACTATTAAAACAATAGATGGATTATGGGTGGATTTGGACGAATGCCTGGTCTGGACAGTAGTACTTTTTTTTCTTACTCCCTCCGTAACATTCATATCTTCCCACTTTCCTTTTTTGGACGTAACATTTATATCTTCTCATTTCTAAATCTTCCCATCATACCCTCAATAATTTAAAAAATAATACACTACTACACCTACTTTTTTGGATTTATCCTTCATTCCATCACATTATTTCACCATCTTCCCATCATACCCTCAATAATCAGTGGCGGAACCAGGACTTAAGACTCGCAGGTGCACAATAACAAAGAAATTATATACTACTCAAAAAAATCATATGCATCACGTATATAGCAATAAAAAAAACTATAAAATTTAAATAAAACAACTACTTAAAGAGTACCTTAATTTTGAATAGAACCTGACGTGTCAAATGAAGGAGAATCATTGAGAGGCGGCAATCTTTGTCTTCGAGGTGCCATACTCTGAAATCGCCTCATAATGACTTCATTCTCAATTTTAACAAATACATCTTTCTCAATGTAACACACCAGACAATCTGTCAAGTATTCTTCTCCCATCCTGTTGCGCAAATCATTCTTGATAAACTTCATCGTCGAGAAAGATCTTTCAACTGTGGCTGTTGTAACAGGTAAAACCAATGCCAATTGAATGAGTCGGTACACTAACTTATAAGTTGTGTGCCACTCTGTTTCAACCATTTTTTTTGCCAAATCTCCAATAGTTTGTAGGCCTGAAAATTGTGGAGATGATTTGACAAACGTAATAAACACTCTAAGTTGTTCATTTAGTTCAAATCTATCTCTTGAACTAAAGTCATCTGGATATAACTCAGCAAGACGAAGAAGTCGCTTCACATCAAAATTGGAGAATGAGTCTTTGGGACTTAACGATGCTATGCACATTAATAGCTCCGAACTTGACTCGGTAAAACGATTACTCATTTCTTGAATAAGACGATCAATAACCTAGCATTATATTAAAAAAACATAATTAATTACCATAACAAAACAAATACATTTGAATACAGTTAAATAAGAAATAAAAGTCTTAAAAGTACCTCGAGAAAAATGTCAACATGAAAGTAGTGGTAATAAGTTTTCGGACTACCATCAACCGTCTTCTGCCTTTTCACTCGACCTGGCTTTACATCCTCCATATTAGATACATCAATATCATGTTTTGAACAAAATGTACTCACTTCTTCAACCAACAAATCCCAACCATAATCATTCCTATAATCCTCCAAATCGTTTTTCACAGCCCTGACAAGATCCACAACATTACCTATGTTTTGATTCTTTTGTTGCAATTCCTTTGATAGCACATTAGTTTTCCCCAATAATTGCAACATGAAATGAGCAACGAACACAAACTCATAGGTTGCCATTTTTTCAATTAAACTAGAAGAAGTGGACTTGCTTTTGAGATCGACACCATCATCAAATATAGCTTCAAGCACCTCAATCACAGCATCCCACATATCAACAACTCTAATAATTGTTTTATAATGAGAGCCCCAACGAGTATCACCGGGTCGTGCTAGACTTTTTTCTTGATTTTTTCCCTTCCCCGTACTAATCTCACCACGTTCTATACGGCCTACAACATCTTCATAATGTTTTTGTAAAAGATCATCTTTTCTTTTACATGACGCACCCACCACATTTACAATCATGCCAAGATGATCAAAGAAACTACCAATTATTCCATTGTTCTTCAAAGAGGACACAATCACCAACTGAAGGCGATGAGCAAAACAATGGACATAATGTGCTTGCTTATTTTCCTCCAAAAATTTTTGTTTCAAACCATTAATTGCACCACTCATATTGGAAGCCCCATCATAACCTTGGCCTCGAACCTTAGACAATGAAAGACCATATTTTGCAAAAAAATCATCAATAGCATTTTTCAGTGCCTGTGCAGAAGTGCTACTAACATGAACCACTCCCAAAAATCGCTCAATTACCTCCCCATAATTATTAACAAACCTTAAAACCACGGACATTTTCTCCTTTATTGAACTATCCCGAGCCTCATCAATCAGCAAAGAGAAACACTTGCTACCAATCTCATTAATAATAGCAAGCCTTACCTCAGTTGCACAAGCATTACTAATCTCCTTTTGAATTTTTGGAGAGGTTTGTTGACTATTCCTGGGAGCGTTTAAGTTCATTACCATGTTGATGTGTGGATGTCGTCGACATTCCCATTTCAAGAGTTCAAGAAAGTTACCTGTAGTTATAAATAGTGCAATTGTCATTATAAATTTATAATCAAACAAATAATACATTATTAATAATGTAAATAAAGTGATAAATATTTACCTGAATGCGTTGAAGTAGCTGATTCATCGTGACCTCGAAAAGCTAATCCACCCTCTAAAAGGAATCGAAATACATCAACAATTGTTGTTAATCTAGCACGGTACTCAAGCTCGTCTTTCCTGGTTTGTTGTGACAATACATAATCCACATTTTGTTTTTTGTCTTTAAACCCGGACCATTTGATTTTTGCATAATGATGCGTGCTATCTGGAGTTCCTTCGTGGTCACGGAATTTTTCCTTAGCTTTCCTCCAGTTATTAAACCCAACTTCAGTAAAAGCATCATCCCCATTTTTATGTCTTCTACCAAACAAATAACACAAATGGCAAAATGCTGCATCTTTATCAACACTATACTCCAACCACTTAAACTCATCAAACCACTGCGTTTGAAATGATCTATTTTTTCCACCAAAATCAGTTTGTGGAAATTTAAACTCATGTGGTTGACAAGGGCCTTTTGTCAAATAACGTCTCCTCAACTCGTCTCTAATATTAACATTAAAAGTGTCAATCGGTTTACGCAATCCAGGATCACCAACAATGTCATCATCGGACAATTCAACTTCTATTCGAGCCTTTTTTACATTAGTGTCATTGTTAGGAATGACATTATCAGATGGAGAAACTAAATTATTCGATGATGAACCACCAATGCTAGGCTGTTTAGGTTCCGGTGTATAATATCGTAACATAGCGATTGTTTGTCAAACAACCTAGACCAATTATAATTGAAATAATATGAGTATAATTGTTTAAATTACATTATAACAAATTAACAACATTATCTACATCAATAAATACACATATTTAATATATAAATTTACAATATAATCAACATTTAAATCAGATTATCACAACATAAATGCCAAATACATTATACTTCAACACTGTATTTCAATTCAACAAATAAAAGTATTCAACAATTGACATTAAACAAATACAATTCAACAAATAGTCAATTTTAAATGAAATTATCTGAAAAATGATTAGGTTAAGGCATTTAAAAACTTACCAAGAAGGCAGAAATCCAGCCGTCCAGGACTACAGACACGGCGGAGACCTTCGTCCACTGGGACTCGCTGAGATGCCCTTTTAATTTCCTACTCGCTGAGTCGCTGGCTCAGTGGTCGCTCAACTGCTGATTCGCTGAAGTTGTTGGGTTGCTGACTTGCTGGAATGCTGGGAGACTTGGGATGTTGGGAGTCGCTGCAGTAGCTGAACGCACAGGGGAGTTGAGTTGGGACTTGGCCTTTAGGCTTTTGGACAGTGAATTGGGCCGCGGGCTGCTCTAGTAAGTTTTTTTTTTGTTTGGTTAGATCCAGGAAGGTTTTTAGGATTGGGCTGGCACAAGGAAAGGGTTAAGGTAAAAGGCTTTTGGGATTGGGCTGCAGGTGCTCAACTAATTAAATATTAATATATCTATATATATATTATAAAAAAAAATCACTGGGGGTGCACGGGCACCTCCGGGCACTGGGCTGGTTCCGCCCCTGTCAATAATTCATACCTCATTTCACTATTCTTAATCTCACCCACTTTGGAAGTGGGAAGATATACTTCGTATGTGATACGGAGGGAGTAATTATTTTAGATTTGAAGTTTGAGCCATGGAACTCTTTCTCCCGAACGGATACATCCTTGCTTTCCTTCTCCAGCCCTCTACACTATGATCTTCCTCTCTCGTTACCTCTCTATTTGTTGGAGATTTATTGAAAATAAAACTCAATTGTGTATTTACATGGTCCTTAATCATTTTATAAACAAATGATGTAATTCTTTTACATGATGTTATATAAATGTAATAATTATTATTATTATATAAATTAAGAGAACACATGTGCACGTGTGTCTCTTAATAATTATAATAATGTTACTTTATTTCATTTGTACTTAATGTGCTCTTTATAAATGTTATTAAGTTTTATTCTAGAAGTGGCCATCCATGTACGAACATGGCAGAACACTTATTGGTGTTCAAATGTTTAAATGTAAATTAAATGGAAATGTTTTTTAAAAAAAACGTACATGAGTTCTCTTATAAAGAGCCGCATCGTTTCTTTTATTTGAAGGCTTTTCATTTGTACTATGAAAGGGCATTTCGGCAAGTTTGTTAACGGCCTTTTCAAAGGGTTACACTTTTATTATAAATAAATAGCAGGACCATGTGGGATTGATGGACGGATGAAAAATCAATTTTTCAATCTTCTCTTGCCTTACTAAATACTAATATCTGCAGCGCTAGTATTGAAGTGCTTAGACCGCTTTATGTGCAAATCACTTGTTTAGTGTTATTTTGTTAGTAACCAAAATACACTGCACACCTTCTTTTTATCCCAAAAGTTCTATCTTGTAACCCGGTTACTATGATAAGGGTAGATAGTAAACTTTTAGGAAAGCGTATCTAATACGTGACTAGAAGTGATATCCGGTCCAACCATATTTCATTCCCTTATAATTCACTATTTCTATCCTCCGGTTCTAACAATCTAAAAGTTTACTAATCCGAAATTATGGCCGCTACTCAACGTGATATCAACACCAATTTTCAAAAATTGGAAAAGTTCGAAGGTGTGGAATTTCGAAGGTGGCAGAAAAAGATGCATTTTCTGCTCACCACTTTGAAAGTGGTCTATGTGTTAAGCACCCCGAGACCGCCCGAGGAAGATGAAAACGAGACTTTGGAAACAAGCCGCCGCCGCATAAAGTGGGACAATGATGACTATATCTGTCGTGGGCACATTTTGAACGGTATGTGTGATTCTCTGTTTGACGTGTATCAAAATGTTGAGTATGCAAAAACGTTGTGGGAATCTCTAGAATCCAAGTATATGACCGAGGATGCTTCTAGTAAGAAATTTCTCATTAGTAACTTTAATAGTTACAAAATGGTGTACTCTCGTCCGGTCATGGAGCAATTTCATGAGATTCAACGTTTATACGATCAACTTTTGATACACAACATGCATGTCAATGAAACTGATGGAGTATATGGCTCGGGAACCCCCGGCCCACAGACTCCTTAATCTCCAACTCAGGCCCAACCAGCCCAAGGAGCACACCAGGCCCAAATATGGCGGCCCAAGTAAAGGAGTAAGAGCCCAAAACACACGCTGGGCTGCCCTCGGTCTCCTTGGCTGAGGGCTCCAAGTCACGCCAGGCGTCCTGAGACGAGCTCGCGAGGTCACTGGGAGAAAACGGCGCAAAAAAGTGGCCCTCGGCTACCAGGAGCCCTCGGCACCCAATGGTAGCCCTCGTCTACCTAACACCCCTCGGCCACACACCACTGACCGCGGGTCCCGGGGATCCGCGAAGCTTCCTCTTGAGACAAGCAACCACCGCATTAAATGCCGCGTCACATCCAA